TCAGTGGGAATGCGGTTGTTCCTTCAGGAAAGAAACTCCCTCAAATTTTGACATGTTAAAAACTCTTATTATTTAATGCAACATTTTTCTGAGTTACGACGTTGCCTCTTTTTTTTTAAGACAAAGTAAATCAGTTGGGCCACATGCAGCAAAATTTGACCTGTAGTACTACTGGCTTAGCTCTTCTCATCAGACTGACAGCCTCATCTAACTGAACTAGTACATCTGAAAGAAATAACTAACAGTTAAAAACATCTACCAGTACTGTTGCATCTTGTCAATCGATACAAATCCATGTCTTACAAGAGATCACTTCAAATTTATTTATACTTGAATACTATCAGATTTCAAAAAACATAGCAGAAGGACAGTGGAATGAAATTATTTTTTGCTTAAGATTTAAGAAAAATACGAATTAACTTCCAGGAGTACTTAAAAATAGATTCTCATTTACGAAAAGAACAAATAGGTACTCCTGAAAGGGGAGCAATTAAAAGATTAATGTGACTGAACCATGTAACACAAATGTGTGTAAAAGTGTGTTCAGAAATTTTATTACTCATAATAATACATGGAGCAGAAGAGAGTTAGACCATAGAATACTATTTTGATACCAGGAAGGTTTGGTGGTTATTAAGAGGACACCTTTTTGGTTGCTAACTAAAGTACCTTTTTAGGCAAAACTGATCAGAATAAGCAATTCTGTAGTTGTACAATAACAAGGACACATTTAGCATTACAGGGGCAATAATATGGTGTTAAAACTACACCCCATAAATGCTCAAATACTACAGGAGTCTTTCTGAAAGAATTAAAACTACAGATTAGTCTTTAAAACACAAAACACTTGTTACAATGGTCTGATGACAGCAAAAATGAAAAATAAACAGATTTTTCCCCATAAGCCAAGTTTCTTTCCAGAAAACATCTTATATTAAGTATGATGACTCCTGATTAACTGGAAAACGTTGACACACTAAATTTCAAATTTATTACTGTTGTTAGTGTGTCCAATTGTAGTAAGTCTGACATTTTTAAAGAGCAAAAAACAGACTTGTCAGTTGAGTGAGGCTCAAATACCAAATAAAAATAGCAAAGCAAGCTTTAACCTATGTGGGATTAAGTTTTAAAGGTCTTGTTTGGAATCAATTTTTATTCTTGATAATAAATTAAAAAATGTTTGCTACTTAAGCTCGTTTGTATTTTACTAATTCAATTAAAATGCAGAACCCTGTATGTAATTGTCCTATGAAAGTATTTCCCCAATGAGTCAGTTACATACAAATTACTGTTGGAATGATTTAGCAGGGTCAAATAAGTGTCTGCTCCTCAGTCAGTCCAGTTCATGGTCAAATTTACTGGTGTAAATCCATCTTTGCTGGCATTTCGCCATAATTTGTCAGAGTCAAATGAAGCTGCTGAAGTTTAGACATGGGTTTATCTCTGTCATCCTAGCAGACACAGTTTGAAACAAGGTTATCAAGGAAAAGCATCATGCTCAGTCTACTCTATTCAGCACAGGACACTTTCTCTCAGTAAGACTGATATATATGAACCTCTCCTCTATATCAACAGTCTACCTTTTCAGTTTTCTAACACTAAATTTTCTGGAAATCCATGAACTTTTAATATTATTGAACTGAAGTGCAGCATTTATAGAGCTCAATCCCAGAATAGACTAGATCAGTATTTTTATATTATTTTTTGAAAAGAAAAACTAATGTTTGATGTTTCCATAAAAATTAAACATGAAAACCAAAATTGTATACATAAAGAGGGTCCAACTCCAACAAGCACAGAAAGGCTTGTCATCTGTGGCACCACATAGCACAAGGAAAACAAACAAACAAACAAACAAAAAACACAGAAAACGGAGCTTGAGAAAGTCTTTGTAAAATATTCCATTACTAGCTTTCTCCACTTTTCCTGTGTTGCTTATCACAGTGTGATTTGAATGTCTGGGTCAGCCAGATTTACATTAAAAGACTGTCATAGAGGTACAAATGCAACAGGTTGTTTTGTTTTCTTTATCACGTTCACTCTTCCTAACCATGTTTTTCTTTCCCCCTTCCTTTTGTCCTTTATCGACTGCTCTCCAAACATTTCCTCTTCTAGATCAAATGAGTCCGGAACTCTGCCAAATACTTTTATTCATTACCTAAGGAAATTTCATTTGTAGGGCTCCACCTATCTCATTTACTGATTGAGATATGGGCATATGAAGAAACATATTTTTAGGAAATGGATGTATTACTATATATTGCTTAAATTTTGAAGATGTGAGACTCCAGACTATACCTAGAACATCTGATTTCTAATTTCATTGAATGGCATTTAAGATGAAGATTTATTTTGAGAACAAAGAAGTTTGGAGAATCTAACACAGATGTTTTACCCTACAGGATTTGAAGAAATTTGTGGAGGGAAGATGAAAGTGAGAGAAAGGAGCTAACATATCAGACAAAAAGCCTCCCATATCATAGATCTGGCTGTATATTCCAAGGACGTCCAATTAGCATCTACTGTATATCGGTTGTAGTATTAGTCCATGTTCAAGAAAGAGAAATAATATGCCAGTGAGAAAACAAAAATGTCCAAAGCCTAGAACCATGCAAAAATCTAAAGAGAGTTTGACAAGTCAGAAAGTACAATTTAAGTCAATGTAAATTATTTTTTTAAATTATTAGAGTGATTCTTTGGGGGTTTGGGGTTTTTTTTGGTTGTGGTTTGTGGTTTTGCTTTTTTTTAAGAGACATTACTATACAGATGCATCTTAACTTTACATTGATTATCACAACTGAGCAAACAAATGTAAGAGCTCTCATTTATAAAATTACAGATTTAAACCAAAATTTTCAACCGGAGAACTGATTCAAATACAATAATCATTATCACAGCTTCTTCCCAATTCTCTCCACCAAAAGGTTAAATTCTGTAATTCTGTTGGTCATGGTACCTTTAACTGATAACTTGTTTCTCTCTAAAGCTCTGTAATACAAACTAGGCAGAAAACAAATCTAAAACTTACCATTGTAAAACCTACCTTTTTGAAACTACACTATTTGTGGAATTGAAAAAACAAATACTATAAGAAAACAAGTGAAAAGGTAATAATTTCTCCAACTTCAGATTTTTTGTGTTCTTTGTAAGCAACAGAGGTACTGAAAGCATTAGTTGCATATCTCATAAAACAACAAAATATGTTTTGACTTTTTTTTTTGTTCAGGGAGGATACTGTAGAAGAATCTCAGAGACCTATTCAATGACCTTTTGAGATAAATGGTGATAATTGAATCAAATAAAGTAAGTTGAAGATAGAGATGAACTATAAGTAGATCCTTTGAATGTCTGATAAAACCTTAACAAGAAATAAAAAGGAAAATATTTCATTAACTTTTGTAACTAAGAAATTTGGACCAAGAGAAATTGATAATTTGACTTCAATCAGAAAACTATATATGAAAATCTTGGAAAATAAATAAAAGTGTTAAAAACAGTAGTGTTCTTTCTCTTTTTTTCCTTGCTCCCAAAATGTAGTTAGAAGACTCCCAAGAACACAGAAACCAGTATTACATTAGATGTACAATGTCTGTTACTCTTATTAAAGATGGACTGAAAATTAATAGCAGCAACAGCTTTCAGCAAAAGCATCACTTCAGAACTAGTTTTGTTTTACAAGTACCTATACGCAAAGACGACTGCCTATGTCACATCTGTAACTGGCACCAACTCCATGCAGTGGTGTTTCCTGACCAGACTAAGGTTCTTCGGTTGATTTAGAATACTCATCACTATTCTTATATTCCATATCAGTACTCCAGTTGTTCCAATATTCAAGTATAGGCATTTGATATCCACACCGATAACTACCAACAGCAAGTGCCTTCTGTTACAAAGACATGATACTCCTTCTCTTGAAGCCCAGAGATACAACTAGAAGAATTATTGCCTCCCAGGGAAATCCTCCCAGATGAAGTTAACAATGACCATCTTAACTTGAAATGCTAGGAGTGGACAAGAAAAATCAAATATTATATAGATATATACATCTAGGAAAAGAAATAGCCTTATTCTGTGTTTGTCTGGATGAAATGGTTAATAATTATGAATTATGAGCTATATAGGAATTATATCCAAACTATATCTCCAAGAAAATCATCAAGTGCCAGCACTGAATTAGTAGTATTTTCTTTTCACTTTTCCAGTTTTCCTTTGTTAATTCAACCTCAGAGATATTATAAATGTATCTTCCCACCAGGAATGAAAAAAGTGGCTACAAGTACTCTTAACAGAAGATACTATAAAACATAGGAGAAAAGATGCAGAACAGGTTAACATGATGATAACTACAGTATTTTCTTCTCATTTACATGAAGAATAGAAATAAAAACATCAGTGTAGAAAACTTCATTGAAAAAGTTAAGATTTATTAATGCACACAAAAGTAAAGCCGAACTATTTTAGCTATGGAAATCCAAGAACAGTTCTGTATCTCCCAGTGAAACACTTTGCCACAGAAAATACCATTGATTTTTTTTTTTTTGTAAACTAAATTACTTTTTTAAGGAAAGAGAATCCCAAATCGTTCCAATAGTAATATTCCAACAATCAGGCTTTCCATATCCATGGATATGTCCACTAAAAGTTCAATTAAAAGGCAGCATTTATACTCTTCTCCCAGTCTGGAACTTCTTCACATTTAGGAAGAAGCAGCTCGTATTGTTTCTATAATACTATATTAAAATTCTATTTCAGAAAAGGATAAAAAAAAAAGCGATAACAAAACAGAACTCACCACAACTCCAAATTGCTCTGGCTCAGACAAATTATTATACTCGCTCTTGAACTTGGACAATGCGTTCAATTGTTCTTGTTCAGGAAGATGTTTTATTAAATTCTATCAAGAAAAATAAAATAAGCTTAAAAATCTCCGATTCTATGTTGCTTGTATTATTGTAGGCAAACAGTATTACATTTGCATCATTACCACTCACTCCAAAGACAACACTCCTTCCTGAAGACAGTAGAATGTAAATAGGCAACACACAAATCGACGTAACTGAGACTGTAAAAAGCAAGTGATTCAAAACTGCTAGCTAACACCTTTTGCTGATTCCACAAACATTTCTACAGTCTTTTTTTAAACACCATTTTTAATGAAAGAATATGCTTGATAGGCACTCTGCAAACAGAACATTAAGAAGCCAAAACAAGAATTTCAAGTGTAACATTCATCTGAAGGATGGCAAGAATTAGTAATGCTAGGCCAAAAGTATTTTGAAAATGGGTAACTGATTTTCTAGTATTTCAAAACAAAAGCTTAAACCTATTACACACTACTTGCCAGAAGTATGAATTCAGAGGCGGGACTCGGCTTCAGCTGAATTCAGGAGTCCATATGGGGAGCCTGGACACTTACAGAAGTGAATGTCTTGTGAACAGAGGCAGGGGAATCTAAACATGTCACCTTCATCTGATCATCTGAAGGATTCTCAGACTCCCTGGAGCTTCCTGAACACTTAGACACCTACATTCATATATAGACACTTGCATTTAGGCATCTGAATCCCACTCTAATTACAATCACCTAGGTTGGCTAAAAATGGCTATTCTGAGGTTCTGGAAGAAGAGAGGTTCACAAACATTAAACTATGGTATATAATTTGAATCAGTAGCTGGGTTCCGTCCCTTCCCAAGACAACTACTCTAACTACTAGGCAATAGTCAGGGTCTCTTTAGCCTGCTCTCTTTCTCAGCTTAGGACTCTTGTGTTCCTGGTGGCTAAGCTTCCATCATAGTAAGAAAACAAGAGAGAGATTGTGTTCTTCCTTAAAACACTCGTTGGCCTCCTTGTAAGACCACTCTTCTGAAGTGAAATAAAGAGTCAATCCTTCTAACACTACATCAGGCCTAGCAAACTCAGCCACCCCACTACCTACTACCGTACTTCAAGAAAGCATCAGAAAGACTAACTCTAGCACTTCCCCGTTACTCGACAGAAAAGACAGCCGTTTCTGTTAAGTAAAAATCTGTTTTATTACTTTGCAAGTAAATAGCTTTGGTGATATACAGTCCACAGAAAAGAATTTGCTTAAGTTAGTGAACAGGATCTCCCTCTGAAAGTCTTCAAAAAAACCACTCTTATTTTATCCACAAAAGATCCTAATTTCTTCTAGAGGAAGTTCAGCCAATTAGGATATACAAATTAACTCTCTGAGGCAGGGAGATAAAAAGACATAGCTATGTTTCACTTAACATACTTCCCTAATTGAAGAAGAAAGAATTCAACTCTTTAACTAGTACCCCAAAAATATCCCTAGTAGTCACCTCAGTGTCTCCACGCCATCTTCAGAACCTGTATTGGCTAGTTCAAAGCTAGCCCCAGGTGTTTATTCAAGTTGCAATAGTACCCTTGGATTTCAGTAAAGATATTCCTCTTGTTAAAGAGTAGAAGTATTGGATTTGTAACTAAAGAGCAGATGTATGTGTTATTTTTTTTTAAAAAAAGCAGTTTGAATATTTTGCTTAATACTAGTTCTTTTAATTTTTTATAACTCAGTCTCTTAGCTTTTGTAACAGTTGTCATTTTACAGTAGTTCAGCATTTATCAAACTTTTTTTCTATTGGCTAAAAAGATTTAGTTTTTTATCACTGCATTGTTTTAGTGTAAAAAAAGTTACTATTTTAAGAACTGAAACCCTACTTTGATTTTAAGGACTACAATAAGTTTTACAATATTTTGTCATATCCAAAGTAAGTATCAAGTAGTTTATCAAGAAAGTAAAGTCAGCAAATAAGAAAAGCTAGACTTATGAGAAAAGGCCTAAATAAACCAAAGGGAGAGTAAATGCTAGTTAAAGAGTAGACTGCTTCAACAGAGTATCCATGCTCAAATAAGGATTTTGGTAGGAAAAAGAGAATTATCAAAAAGGCATGAATGATGATGGTAAAATAATAATGTGAACTTACATTTTATAGAGCTTTATTTGGACATTGTCAGACTGACTTTCAGCATGAAGAGTTTATGACAATAGTCATACATATCCCTACCATTATTACATTTGGAATACATTTTTTTTAAAGAAGACTACATTTATTAATTATAGATGAAGATGTCCAGCACTACATCAGTAACACTGAGCAAAAATGAAAGGGTACACAGTATAAAAAGATATATTTTAAATTAGAAATTCATAACCCACTTATTTCTTGTCATTATATACAACATCCATATAATCAGCTCTAAATGTACTACAATTCCTTAATCTTTACTGAGATTAAAATGTTATTGTTTGATGCTAAAATAATTTTCATATGTAGAAAAACTGACAACAAAACTATCAAAAAAGAGAAACAGTCAAGTGTTGTATGAATGTTTTCAATATTAAGCATCAGAAAGATAAAAAAAACCAACACAAAACTAAAGGAGCAGCTGATATCAAAGCAGTGCTATGGTGTTCAGATAAAGCTTTTGAACTGCTAGAGATGAAACGCATTTTGAATATCAAACAGAGAATAAGCAGGAGAAAGAATTTTGACTAAGTCACAAGAAACGTTCCAATAATTAGTCAATGACTATTTGGATTATAACATGACTTTTGGAGTTTTTACATGTTTAAGAACTAAATTTAATTTCTAGCTGAACAGAGCATACATTTTACTTCTTAAGCATAACAAGACTAGGATTAAAGACAAATTTCCAACTTCAGAAACTGTGACATTAGGATACATTGAACAATATTTAAAGCTAGACAAAAAAAAATATTGATGAAGACAAGAAATTTCTGGAAAGGAGAAGTACCATAAAATCTACGGTATCTCATATAAATAAATAAAAATAGCCATACGCTTGCAAACCTATGTATGCTTTTGCTCTTCTCAGAATCATGAAATACACAGGACTACGTTTCCATAGCATGGCCATAACCCATACTCGTGAACGTTTTTAAAAGTCGAAATAGAGACATATAGCTGGAGAGTTAAATTTATTTAGTAATCTAAGCATATGTGAAGCTGGATAACAATTTTTTAAACCACTGAGGTACATTATTTTACCATTTCCAAAGGAAAATGGATGTCTTAGTGCTTTTTTGAGTTTGAACTCAGATGGTCTCCTTTTCAAAGTTATTACAGGGTTGTTTTATCCAGAAACAAGAAACTTGGGTGAAACCATTTGATAAAAATGATTACATCCAAACTTGCAAAGTAAATTTGCAGCCTAAGTTCTTCTGAACTTTCCATTTGATTTAGGCTGCAAATGTTTAATTACTTTGCAAAAAAAATGCAATCTATACTCTTGAACCATTTATATTTCATAGAATTTCATAGAATTTCTAGGTTGGAAAAGACCTTAGAGATCATCCAGTCCAACCATTCCTAATCTCCCATTACACCATATCCCTAAGCAGTTCATCCACCCTTTTCTTAAACACATCCAGGGATGGGGACTCAACCACCTCCTTGGGCAGTCTATTCCAGTGGCTGACAACCCTTTCAGAGAAGAAATTCTTTCTAACATCCAGCCTGAATCTCCCCTGACTAAGCTTATACCCAGTTCCTCTTGTCCTATCACCCATCACTAATGTAAAGAGCCCTTCCCCCACCTCCCCACCATCCCTTCTCAAGTATTTGTAGGCCGTAATCAGGTCTCCCCTCAGCCTCCTCTTCTCCAGGCTAAACAGCCCCAACTCCTTCAGCCGCTCCCCATAAGTTTTATTTTCCAGCCCCTTGACCAGTTTAGTCGCCCTTCTCTGGACCCACTCCAGGAGCTCAATATCTCTCTTAAAGCGAGGGGCCCAAAACTGGACACAATATTCCAGGTGCGGCCTCACCAGTGCCGAGTACAGGGGCAGGATCACTTCCCTGTTCCTGCTGGTCACACTATTCTTGATACATGCCAGTAACCCATTAGCCTTCTTGGTCACCTGGGCACACTGCTGGCTCATATCAAGCCGGTAGTCAACCAACATCCCCAGGTTCTTTTCTGCCAGGCAGCTCTCCAGCCACTCTTCCCCGAGCCTATAGCGATGCTTGGGGTTTTTATACCCCAAGTGAAGGACTCTGCGCTTGGCCTTATTAAAGCTCATGCCATTGGCCTCAGCCCAACGATCCAGTCTGTTCAAATCCCTCTGAAGGGCCTCCCTACCCTCAAGCAGATCGACACAGCCTCCCAGCTTGGTGTCGTCCGCAAATTTACTGAGGGTACATTCAATCCCCTCATCCAGGTCATTGATAAAGATGTTAAACAGAACTGGACCCAGCACTGAGCCCTGGGGAACCCCACTGGTGACCGGCCTCCAGCCGGATTTAGCCCCATTTACCACCACTCTTTGGGCCCGGCCGTCCAGCCAGTTTTTAACCCAAAGGAGGGTGTGCCTATCCAGGCCAGCAGTGTTTAAAAAAGCCCAATATGGGGGACCTGCCATCCATCCTCTAACAGTATGCCTTGTGTTCATACAGGACACTGTGAGCATTATCACTTGCATTCTATTACATTGACTTCCACCCAATCACAGCAGCTGCTAACTCTTGTAGGACATTATTCCTCACCTCACATTTGGCTCTTCAACTTCTCTTACTCTTTTCTTAAATAAAATTGTTCCCTCCCCTCCAAAAGCAAACACAAGAGGACTCAAATGCTGTCCTAAATACTTGAGACTCAATGCTGATGCAAAGAACTATACAGAGAGGTTACTGGATACACTGATTTTCATTATACTCTACTGCTAATAACAATTAAAAGAGCAACAAGATTATCAGTGTCAAAAAAAAAAAATCTCCTATTACTGTTAATCATGCCTATTGTTTAGTGAATAAAGTGAAGCTTGATTGGTTTAGCAGTTTTAAACACACAGAAAAGTAGGCATTCTTTATCCCACGGTATATAACATTGAAATGGAAATAATAGTCCACAGAAGAAATTAAAAAGGAAAAAAAAAATAAGTAAACCATGCTCAACTTAAGTTTTTCTTCTTAAGCTTATTGCAACTGATGGAATATTTGCCACATGCTCACATAAAAGTATGCCATTAATTAACTACCCATTAATGGTTTGATGATTTTTTTTCCTCAAGCCTAAATGCAAAAAAAAAAGTCTTGCCTTCTTTAAACAATGTGTATAGAAATTATCAAGATGCCAGTTTATCATAATTTTGATATATACTATTTATTTAGAATATACAGGCTGCTTCAGGATATTGTTGAAGGCCTAATTTTGTTAACAAGCTAAATTTTCACCATTAAAAAACAGCGTTAAGGTCAAATAGCATAAGAGAGAGTCTCAGAGCAAGCATGGACAACCTGAGACAGAGTTCAAGCTGAACAAAACAGCATAACATATTCCATCCCTCATCTTTTCATGCTGAATAGAGAATTTCTACTATTATTCCAAATAAAATAAAATAAAGATACACATTGTGCTTCTTTTGAGCATGAAGAAAACCTTTGGGGAAAAAAAGTGATGTAAATGCAAACTAGAATAAACAAACAGCTTAGAGGTTTCAACTGCTCAGTTCATACTAATAACCTTCATGTAATAGTTTCAGTGCCAACATTAACTGCATCACTGAACGAAATAAAGATAATTATTCAATGATTATATATACTGTCACTGAAGATGACGGCTCATGTTTGTTCCTTCAAATATTTCTTAAGAAATACGTCTCATTCTTCAAATCAATCAGTAGACAAGCTCCTTTTAAAGGAAAGTGAAGTTCAAACAGCTCAACAGAGTTTAAAGACCTTTGAAATCCAGGTGACAAGAAGTGAGGACCAAACTGCATGCAGAACACTGTACAGTCTCCTCAGTAGGACCTTATTTTGACATTCCAATATGGTGGAAATTTATTTTGCAAGCAAAGTACACAAATATAAATTTGGCTTGTTTTGACCTTTGCATACAAATTGCTACGTGTCACAGTGCAGGTCACACATCTGAATCTCAAAGGTTCAAAGAGCCTTAATGTTACAATCCATTTTATGACTCTCTCTATTACCTGTATTTATTTCTTCACTAATCAAGATTCCTGCAAAAAGCATATGTTTGTAAAAAAAAAAAAAAAAAAAAATCACCTAATTTTGTCGTTCTTGGATGTTTCAGCAGGTACTGGTACCCATGTCTCTAACACACTTTCAGGTATACTGTAGGGATCAGCTATTTAAATCCTCTGTAATTGCAACCTATGCCATATAATTATGATTTGACATTTACAAGTCATAATAGCAACAATTTGAAGTTCATCATATTATGTAGGAGTCCTGTCCAAAGACAAATCTTAGTCTAAAGACGTTTCTTTGCAAATCTAATGGATGCCCATCAAGATGACTGGGGAACATTTCCCACGGCAGGCAAGGAGAGGTTGAGAAAAGTGGGTTTATTGAACTGTAAGAAAACAAGACACAGGGGACCTTAATGTGGGCTTCAGGTATTCCACTGAAGAGTACAGAGAAGATGCAATTAGGTTCTTCTAGGAGGTGTGCAGCAGAAGGCCAAGGTCACAAGTTGCAACAATGAAAATTCCAGTTAGATAAAAACCAAAAGTTTTTTCACCATGAGAGTAATTCAACACCAGAAAATGTGTCCAAAAAGGCTATGGAGTCTCTAGCCTTGGAGGTATTAAAACTTTAATAGGAAAAGGACCCAAGCAACCTGCTTTAGTTGACCTGGCTTTGAGCAGGGGCTTGGATCAAATGACCTCCAGACATCCCTTCCAAATTATTTTTTCCCATGGTACTATAATGAAGTATTTGTATTTAAATTGTATCATGAAATTCTTCAACTTATCAACCTTTAAATAACAGTGTGCAGAGAAGAACACAAAGAACTTCCAATTTCTTTTGTCTGCACACAGGCTCATAGTGATTTTGTGCTTTGAATAAAGTAATAGGGAACTGGAAAACACTACTCAAATAAACTGTAAGGACGAGAAGTGGTCACTGTGAATGGACTAAGGCAACATCCCAGATTGTATCATCTCTAACAGGGGGGGTGGGGAACAATCAAAAAAAAAAAAAAAAAAAACAAACACCACAAAGAAAACTAAACCAGTTTTTTTACCAGAACAACAGATCTGTGCACATAAAACAGAGGTAGAAACAAAGAAAAAATTAGTAGCTACGAAAGAAACAGAATGTATCCTATGCTGTCCGAATATAAACCAAAGAAAAAACTCTATTTAGGTGTAGACAATATAAATGCAGAAAATCGTTGATTTAAATTCAGCTGCTATTCAGAAAAAATAGCATTACAAATATAAAAACACTTGACAGTTCAAAGAAAAAAAAAATAGTCTTGCAATGATTTATTAGCCAAAAGTTTACGTTAAGAAGCTTTCTAGCTACAGGTTTCTATTTAATGAGAAGCTTACCCTGAAATATCGAGATTTAAATTGTCATTTTCCTTACCTGAATCATGGACTCTGACAGCTGTGTTTCGTCTATTTCCAATATCATCATTTTGATTTCCTCATAAGGCACTCGGAAAGAGCCAAGGAAAATTGCTAAAACAAAGATTCAGCACATAATGAAGAAAGCAAGACAACAACAATCTCTCTTCTGTGTACAAAATACCAATTATACAGGTCATAGCAACTACAGATTAACAAACACTATGCAAAGTAAAACAGATAAAAGATAACAATTTTAAATGTAATTTTAATTACTGTTCTCCTACAATTCGAGCCTTCTCCATCCATTCATTATGCACAACATCTAGCATCACAGAAGACATCCATAAACAGCCAGTGACAAGTCTACTCTGCAGAACAAGATGAGGAGCGGCGTTCCTCAAGGAATAGTATTGGGCCCACTGCTGATAACATCTTTGTCAGAGACATGGACAGTGGCCAGCAGGTCGAGGGAGGTGATTCTCTGCTTTCATGAGATCCAATCTGGAGTACTGCATTCAGCTCTGCAGTCCCCAACACAAAAAGGACACAGAGTTGTTGGACCAAGTCCAGAGGAGGCCCATGGAGATGATCACAGGGCTGAAGCACCTCTCCTATGAAGACAGGCTGAGAGAGTTGGGGCTGTTCAGCCTGGAGAAGAGAAGCCTCTGGAGACACCTTATAGCAGCCTTCCAGTACTTAAAGGGGGCCTACAAGAAAGCTGGAGAGAGACTTTTTGCAAGAGTATGTAGTGATAGGACAAGGGGCAATGGCTTTAAACTGAAAGAGGGCAGATTTAGATTAGATATAAGGAAGAAATTCTTCACTCTGAGGGTAGAGAGGCACTGGAACAGGTTGCCCAAGGCCAGGTTGTATAAAGCTTTGAGCAAGCCGATCTAGTGGAAGGTGTCCCTAGTCATGGCAGAGAGGTTGGCACTAGATGATCTTTGAGGTTCCTTCCAACCCAAACCATTCTATAACTCTATGAATGATAATCAGTGCTTTTATCATTATTTTGCATGGAAGTGACAATTACACTTTTTTCTTCAAAGGTCTTGTCAGAGCTTTCTCTTAAAAAACATCATGAGAAACCAAAACCATATAAACAGTTAAAAACCAAAATGCCCTTATAAACACTGTTTATTCTTTCACCATAATTCAGCCATTTCCTATTTTATATCTGCAGACATTTAGGAACCTGTTTTTTATAGCACTCCTCTCCACCAAAACTTTTATCATCTTTATTTGCATATTATTGCATAATACTGAGTATTGCCTTCTTTCTATGAAAAACATGAGATGGACAGACATCTTGTAGACATTATTGTCTTTTTTGCCAGGGCCAGTTTGGTTGGAGGAGTCGGAGCATAAGGGGACAGGCAGTATTCCTTGCTTAGTATGTTGAACATATGGATAGATAATTAAATATATAGCTGTATGCTTGTATTTCAATATATACAGAAAATAACCTCAGTCTTAAACAAGGGATAACCTTTAACTGTTTTCTGGGTCTCTTTAAACATGTTTCAGTTGTATCAACTCACATGCTTGGTCTTAACACCAATATGCGCATACACACATATTCTCCCACACTTTAGACAAAAAGTGGCTACCAGGCATCAGACAAGAGAGAAAAAAAAATTTATAAAACATTTATACAATACTACTTTGTCATAAACCCAGAATCTACTTACACAGATTCTGTGCAATCTTTGGATCCAAAACTTTTAATTCTTTGATTCGTTTCTTAATGGATTTCTTTTCTTCAAAATCCTCCTCCTCTTTTTTTACTGCAGAAGTAAACACAAATACACTCACTGTTAACTCTTAATATTTAGAGAAAACATTAATGAATTCAGAAAACATTTGCTATCAAGCATAGTCAATTCATAAAAAAAAAGAATGTATTATAGAACACAGACAACAAAATAGAGGGTTTGCATTTATTGTTTGCATTCTCAAAATTTTTGCTCTTCAAATTTGCTAGCCTTCTAGAACGAGACTTTTTTTAATATATAGAAATTGAATAAAGATGCTGAAGTTGATTGACTTTTGTGACTTCAGACCATCCGTACGTATTTAAAGCATCATGCAACATACTTCAGTCAGCCGGGCCAGGTTAACACTGTGAAATGGATTTTAACACTAATAAATCGTAAAGAAGATATGTCAACATGTCTCAACTTTGATCAATAAAGAACCAACCCAAAAATTAAAAGTATTGAGTAATTAATTATTAATTATTAATTAAAGTATTTTTGTAACCACTTCTGTCTAAATATATGCACCAAAATTACCACAGACCGCTGCCTCATTAAAAAATTATTACCCTATAATATAAATAAGTATATACAATCCAAACCATTCTATGATTGCCATTTTTAAATAATTTTTCATATATTATCATTACTGTTTCTAATTTTATATTGCTATTATTATTAAATTGTTCTTTTCTCAACTCACAAATGTCCATCCCCTTTTCTCCTTTATTCTCTTCACCATTCCCCAGGGGTGGGGAAGGGTGAGAGAGCAGCTGCGTGGGGTCTTGCTGCCAGTCAGGTTAAACCATGGCATCACCTTATTACAAAATACCACAAAGACAAAGTGATTGCATAGATGTCCATTAACATTATTGGAAATTTTGGCTTATTCTTTCTTTTCAGAAAATAATTCATACAAATATGATGTCTCAAATGCATTATGTAAGCTAAATTAATTTCTAATTATTCACACATTGTCATAAGAATTTCAGTTTAAAAAATTGGCATAGGCTTGATAATGTATTAGTGGGAACCATTTAAATTATTATGCAAATGAACAAAGACCAAAATCTTTCCTTAAATGCAATCTGGTTGTACTTTTTTATTTTTTTCTTTTTTGCCTTTTCTTTCCTTTTCCCCCTTGCCCTCCACAGCACAAATCCTCACTGTCAAATGCTATTCTCCCAATGTATTAATATTTTTTAACTAATTCTCTATACTATTTTGCAAATGAAATTAGTTTCCAAGGATTCACAGTATGATTGTTCCAAATTAAGCTATACAAGCTTCAAATATTTGAGAGTAGAAAATATGTCGTAATAAAAGTATATGCTACTGACTTCAGAAGGAGATGGACATAGACGAGAAGTCTCGTCAAGAAAACAGGATTAAAATTCCTAGCTCACTGATGATTCTTAACAAAACCAGATGAACATGAATTATAAAGAGGATTTCCCTAAGACGAAATTACTTCTATAAGTTTTAAGAGAGATCTTTGAGAGCTATGTCATTCTTAAAAAAATGTTTTTCTAAGCACATGAAATTTTGCCTAGGGGTGGGACACAGACTAAAGGACCTCTTGAGGTATTTGAGCTTTGTTGTCTAGGATACTACCAAAGAAATAACCTAAAGATTTCACATAGAGATTGAAGGAACTGGATTCTACTCCCTTGCGAGTTGGTGGAGATATAAATTTGAATCATCTCCCAAATCACTTAATATTCTACCCCTGATAAGCAGCATGATGCTCCTCTTGAGGACATGCCACAGTGCAGAAAAGAACCTGGTAGTATTGAGCTAAAACATAAAGCAGTCCTTGGAAGAAGGACTGCTATCTGGAGTCCCAGCAAATGAGTTACAAAGCCACAATGCTCCTCTTTTGTCTTTCCCCCCACTGTACCCACAATAACCAGTTGGCCTTCAGTTTCTTTTGGCACAAATTTAACAGAAAGGTTTGCGTTCTCCTGTCCCAGGAAAAATGACACACTTTGCTTACTACACACATGAAAGCAAAAGAAGCAGGTTTTAACCATCAATTAGAACTGAATACCCCATGTTCAAAGGGAACAGAATGAAATTTGAACTACTGCATAAAAAAGAGGTTACCACTAAAGCTTCACTTTTTTTTCATTATGCTTTAAGAAGAGCCCTTAATGAACCCGAAGGGCATGTCAGGGGCTACAGATCTCAGCATCATGCAACTGATTCCTCCTGCAGTTACACACCCTAACCAACCTCTCAAATTTCTCATCAGCTACATGCTGAAAACAGTCATTTTTAAAAGCATCAATTTGATTTGCCTGTCTAATCAACACTAGAACTGCAGATACCACTAGCAGATCTGAACAGGTAGCACTGGTTCCATGCCACATTCATGCCTTACTCCTTTGAATCATCATGAAAATACAGTAATGCTTTATGGCTACCCTGGAACTTTGCAAAACATCATTTTACAGGAAACAAAATAATCTCCTCAATAGTCAAAATAAAAAACTGAAGTTATCTGAATTTATTAATTTACTTAAACTTGCCCTAACAGCCTTGAACTGGATACTAAAAGGAGCTGAAATAGAAAAAAATATAAATATTTTTGCCTTTTCTAGCACTGGAAAGCAATACTTATGCATTACAAGTCTTATAACAGAGATAATACACAGATACACAAACATACAGAAAAAATTAGCAGTTAAACATGTTATGATTCTATTTTAACTCCTAACTTCTAAACTAAGAAACAATGCTGCAAATGAACTGGCTAATTCCCTCTGGGATTTTAACCTAAGGAAAAATGTATAAGTATAGAACATATTTACTCTAGGAACTCACACAGGAATTGTCTCCTGAGTTATACAATTACACAACAAACTAAATTACTGCAAACTTACGTGATACTTCAGGAGAATTCAGGTCACATCCTTATGTAGTTGGCAGCAATAAGAAACAGAGGACACATATTACTTGTCTTCCCTACTGGAAATGTTGCACTTTCCAATGAAAACTCTGATATCTCCTACTGCCTCTAGAAATTTTTACCTCTTTTGCTTATTAACTTACAAAGGAGGAAAAAGAAAAAAAAAAAAAAGACAAAACTATTATCTATTTCTAACAAGGAAAAAAAAAAGGAAAAAGCTGACTGGGAAGAAAGAAAAAAAGAAAAAAATTTAATAGAAAGATCTGAACGGGTGAAATATCTAGACTAATAGGAAATCGAAGAAAAGAGGGTTAAACTGAAAGAGGGTAGATTTTGATTAGATGTAAGGAAGACATTTTTTACAATAAGAGTGGTGAAACACTGGAACAGGTTACCCAGAGTTGTTGTCCATGCCTCATCCCTGGAAGAGTTCAAGGCCAGGTTGGATGAGGCTTTGAGCAACCTGGTGTAGAGGAGGGTGTCCCTGCCCATGGCAGGGGGGTTGGAACTGGATGATCTCTGAGGTCCCTTCCAACCCTAACCATTCTACGATTCTATGAAAATAATCATATAGATTTTTATTTGGGGAAGGCATTAGAGCAGGGAGAAAAGCATATAGAAGACAGAAAATGGAAAAACATCCGCTTACACTGGAAAAAGAGAAAGCAGCCCAGTGAGAGTGGGCAGCTGCTGCAGAAGGAAGGTGACTATCGAGGGAAATAGACATAAGATGATGTCTTGCTAATGAGAGAAGAATCAAGCCAGGGGATCTCAAAATGCACAGGCAGCTCTCATGGTTCCAGAAGTTGGACCATCATATTAAGCCATTAACCTTCAAAATTACATGTCTTATTTCGGGTATTATACAGCTAAAAAGAAATGTTACACACCAAGACCTGCACATCCTTTCAAGATCTGTCTATATGCTACATCTATCACACTGGGGGGCATACACACAGCCTCAGCATCTGAACTGGATAATTTTTAGACAGTAGTACCTCATCTGATACTCCAACTGCTCTGCCCTCTCAGGCTGCAGAACAAAGTGTTACAGCACTTTGAAACACACAGAATTCATCTTCCACCCTTCACACTTCCTCTTATTTTCACAATCCCGCATCCTTATTAACGTGACTCCAAAATTAACAGATGTGGTTGCCAGTGTACAGACGCCAAATACCTCAAAGGAGTTCTAGCTATTGGAAAGATTGCTTTCGCTGTCTCCTTCAAACGGGTGTCCATGTACATATTCAACTGCAGTCAGCTACCTCCATCTGTGGCAATGACCTGACTGAAATTAGAGTCCTGAAGGGAGTGGTGACAGGACTGTTTAAAAATACAACATCACAGTTGGAAGCCGACAGAATAGCATTTCATAAAAATGTATATTGAACCCTACGTAGCTACTCCGCAGATCTCAAACAATTACATTCTTGGTAGGTGCCACTGAAATAATCCGTACGTTCACGAATTGTTATCCAAATTTCCATTTCTGCCACAGGTCTTGATATAATCTGCTACCCACAATCTTTGTCTAAGAAAAAACATATCTGTGCATCTGTATGCTAAAGAAAGAAAGTATTCTAAAATCCATCATCCTACTGAATAAAAACAAAATACTCTTGAAATACAGGCTTGAAAAGGTACATGCAGATCTGAACATTTATTTTAAAAGGTCTGAATTCCTAGTTCAGATGAAACTCGAAAACTACATTACACAGAAACCTACAGAACACTCAATGGAGTTATTTTGTCACTAAGTAACAGGGCTGTACAGAAAATTACACAAGACCTTGCACCTTTTCTACTCTCTTAGCTAAGACGACAGTCATCTTGCAGTCTGTCCTCACTGAAACATGAAAGAAGCTGTCTGGGGTCACAGGCTAAACCATATCAAGTCTCATTATGGAAGTAGATGCATACGACATCCATTTAGACGTCTAGCTCTTAGCAGTACAGGATAGCTTGTGCCCCATATAGTAGGATAATTCACTGCAAGACCTGCATTCTTTATCTCCAAAAGGTTATCTGGAATCAAAGGAATAGATCTTTAAGAGAATATGAGGTTGCAGCTAAATAAGAAATGCTGCAGAAGTTCTTAGTTGTTCAAAGCAAAAAT